AATGGCCACTGGTCGAAGCTAGTGCACATGGAGACTACAATACGGCCACCCAGACCCTAGAGAGGAAACCACCACAAGAGACACCCATGGGAGCTGCAGAAGTAGCCACCCCTCCCACCCAGGCATGCCCAAAGGGATAGACCCAGGTGTCCCAGCCACCGATTCAGGTACTGGAGACCGTAGGAGGGGAGGATGGGCTCCATCAGGAAGGACAGGAGGGACAGCGAAGGCTGGCGGGGGAGGGAACCCCACAGGATGAAAGATCCCAGGAAGTACCCACGTGCAACACCACATCCAGGCAGGGAAAGAGGATCATCTACTTACTGATCAAGCGGAGTGTGTGAGTAAGGCTCCCAAGACAGATCCTCCTCTCCACCAAAGTGGGGGGCTGTCGACAAAAGGTAACACTTTGACATGGGCCCAGTCATATGTGTCTGCGCGAGGAGTTTAACTCAGAGTCTGAGCCAGCCACTCCTGCACCCTCCCCAGCCCAGCGCTCCAGTAAGCGCTGGAGGAGCAGAACAGACTGATAGCCATCAGCTCTCCGTTCAGTGAAGACCAAGAACTGAGCGATTAGCTGTCTTTGATCACTCAGTTCTTGACATAGCGCCGGCGGGTGACAGCTGCAGCATTGGATAAATGCTGCAGCCAGCTAGGCGAGTGTAAATGTTTGTTTTGTTAGATTCCCATACTTCTCTTTTAGTCACAACTATGAGTGCATTAAACTGATTGTACAGCAGCAGTTTTTTTTTTTTTTCTCTTTAAGGCTGCTTTCACACTGAGGAGTTTTTGTAGCGTTTTTGTGTTAAAGAAAACGCATGAAAAGCTAAAGAAAAAACTGCTTCCCTGTGTATGTGAATGTATATATATGTATGTTTTCACACTGAGGCGTTGCGCTTTCGGTGTAAACTCCTGCTTGCAGCATCTTTGAGTTAAAAAAAAAAAAAAAACGCATCAAAAACACCTCTTCCCATTGAAATGAATGGTAACCGCCTCAAAAATGCTCCAAAATGCTTAAAAACCACTCCAAAAATGCACCGCACATGTGGGAAGGTCTGGCTGTTTAAGCTGTCAGCGGGGTTCCCCACTGACAGCTGAATGTAAAAGAAAAATTTGCTGGCATTAAAAAATAATTTTAAAAAACGACGACGTGGGGTCCCCCCCCTCCATCCTTACCAACCCTTCAGGTCTGGTATGGATTTTGAGGGGAACCCCTATGCCAAAAAAAAAAAAAAAAAAAAAATGGCTTGGGGTCCCCCCCAAAATCCATACCAGACCCTTATCCGAGCATGCAGCCTAGTAGGTCAGGAAAGGGGGGGGGACCGAGTAAGCACCCACCCCCCTCCTGAACCATACCAGGCTACATGCCCTCAACATGCGGGGGGCGTTTGGGGTGGAGGGGGTTTTTCCCGCCCAAAAACACCTTGCCCCCATGTTGATGGGGGCAAGGGCATCTTCCCCACAAACCTGGGCTCTGGTTGTGCTGGTCTGCGGACGGGGGCTTATCGGAATCTGGTCCCAGGCCCCCCCCCCCCCAATGTGAATGAGTATGGGGTACATGGTACCGCTACCCATTGACAAAAAAAAAAAAAAAACCCGGTTGTGTGAAAAAATACAGGAGACAGTCTTTGACAAGTCCTATATTAAAAGACGGAAAAAAAAAAAAAAGAATGTTCCCTGAAGTAGATCCAACGTCAATCACGATGCCCGCCGCCGACTACTACTTCAGGGGACATTCTTTTAATAAAGGACTTGTCAAAGACTGTCTCCTGTCTTTTTTCACACTACAGTTTTTTTTATTTGTGAATGGGAAGCGGTACCATGTACCCCATATACTCATTCACATGGGGTGGGCAGGTGGGATCTGGGGGGGAACCCACACCTTTTCTTTATTGGTGTGGGGGTTCTCCTCAAAATCCATACCAGACCCCGAAAGGACTTGGTATGGATGGAGGGGAGGGGGGCCACATCAGTTTTTAATTATTTTTTAATTGCCGGCAATTCTTTCTTTTACATTCAGCTGTTATTGGGGAACCCCGCTGACAGCTGAAACATTACTGCCTGGTTTTAACTAGTAGTGTTTAGTGAATTCAAATCTACCCAATTTGAGCTACAAAAGTCACATGTCCACTTGAAAAAACGCTTCAAAAACACCACAAAAACCCTCCAAAAACACTAGTCATTTTTCAAGCGTTTCTGAGGCGAACCAGTGTGAAAGCAGCCCAAGTGAAAAAAATAAACATATTATACCTACCTGTTCTGCACAGCGGTATTGTACAGAATGCCCCTGAACCTCCTCTTCTGGGGTCCCCTGCCAGCGCTCTCTACTACTCCTCTTCTGTGAGTGCCCCCATACAAGCCAGTAGCTGTGGATGCACTTGTGCGGCATGCTACAGGGCTGGGCCATATGTGTCCATAAACATGCATATTATGGCTCAGCTCGGCTGTCCACTCCCACCTTACAGAGTCTGACTGATTGACAGCAAGGGGCCAATGGCTCTCGCTGCTCTCTCTCTAAAGCCCATGACTACAGAAATAGGAGAGCGGGGCCGCTGGCAGGTACAGCGCTGGATCGAGATTGGTGTCAGGTAAGTGTTGGGGAGGGGGAGGGGAGACTGCATTCTCTGCAAGGTAAAAAACCTTGCAATGTCTGAGTATATATTAAGGTAAAAAAAACATTTTGCCTTTAGAACCCCTTCAACATGCGCATTAACACGTGTTTTTGAGCCTTGAGGCCCAATGTATTCAGGCAGCCCATACATTTTAAACTGGCCATAAGCGTGCATCAGCAAATGAAAATGACATTTTTTTTTTTTACATTACAGCATATCAGGGTGTTCACATCTGTGGGTTTCAATGCACTATAGTGCAGGTAAGATTTTAATTCTAGTATATGTAAATTGGGGGCCATTCTGAATGACAAAGACTCGCAATGACAAACTGAATCATCTTTCACCACAACTCTGAAACAGAGAAAGGACAAAAAAAATAAAAAATCTTAGGCAAATTTAACTAGAGCATATAGCTGGATGTACAAAAACTCTTTTTGTTAAAAATCTTAACCAATTAATAAGGATGAAAGGAAATATGGGTCAGAAACTGTTTTTAACTGGTGCTGTAGACAAAGAAGTCTTCATTAAAATGCTTTTAATACAGCCATTTCTGAACACAAAGGAGCCTCATGGGACCTATACATTTTTAAGTAGCCCATCTGAGGCAAATAACTCCACGGACATTAGGATCCTTGTTAAAGAACTCAAGGCTCTAAGGCTGCATCTTCATGTTGAGTGAATGTCCTTTTTTCTCTTGCCAGCCCATTCATTTCACAAATGCACCAAAGAAGCTCCTGCACTTTTTTGGGCACCGAGCTTTGCAAATTTTTTTACCAAGTGTTTTTTTTTTCACAGAACATGCAGATGTGAATGGAGATTAGCTCATTAAAACGTTCCACTTTGAGTGTGCAGAAAAGGTTAGACTTATTTTGAGAACCTCAATGTTTTAGATTTAGGCTGGCTCACACTGCCTTGATTTGGGATCCGACTTGTGAGACCCCAAGTCGAATGACATGTGAAATCCCATGTTAGTCACGGACAGCGGTCTTAATTAGCTGAAGCTGCGCCGACTTTAGAAAAGGTTCCTGTACTACTTCAAGGTGACTTCTATCCGACTTGTGTCCATAAACTTTAATAGAAGCACCTCCAAGTCAGATCCTCATCTATATTGATGTGATATGGATCCGGCATTACAGGAAGATTACCCAGGCATTCCCTGAAAGTCGCTTCAAAATAGTACTCAAGTTGCCTGGCAAAGTCGCACTGCAAGTTGCGTGACTTTCAGGTAGCAATAGTGTGAACCGAGACTTACATGAGAGACCAAAGCATTTTACAAAAATTAAAAACCACCACACACACTCGCATGATAAGAATAAGTAGACTTAGCACACAACACGTTTTGAGTACACATGCTAAAATGCGTTTACTTTTTTTATGAAAACACATCTTAGCACCCCCAAACAATATACAATTTCTGAAAGTGGGGGAGCTGTATAAAAATTGATAGTAGTTAACTGTTTTAGATCAAGAAATATTTGAGCTGATAAACTATATTTTCATATAAAACACACAATTTTCATCTACAAATTTTCTAGATATAGTTGAATAAAGACACCCGTTAATTCAGTTCAACCTGTGTGCATGTTTATGACACCACCATTTCCCAGATCTCTGTATATTGCACTCGTTAAGATGCCCGTCTAAGAGTTCTTTTAAATTATTGAGACTCCCTGCATTACTTTATATTTATCATCATTAATTTCCATTTGCCATGTACTTGCCCACCCCTCTATATTATAGAGGTCTTCCTGTAAAGTTGCTATATTCTGTTGCGAAGTTATTAACCTGTTTAGCTTTGTATCTTCTGCAAACACTGAAAGTGAACTATTTATTCCAACCTTTATATCATTTATGCACAAGTTAAACAGAAGTGGTCATGGGGCATCCCACCTCACAACTCCAGACCATTCCAAAAGTTGCACTATTTAGAACTACCCTTTGGACACATTCCTGTAACCAGTTTTCTATCCAAGTACATACACGATCATCAATGCCAACAGACCTCAATTTGTAAATTAAGCATTTATGGAGGTACCGTATCTTCGCAAAAAATCCAGATACATCATGTCCACTGGCATTCCTCTATCCAGATTACAGCTTGCATCCTCATAGAATGTTAAAAGATTGGTCTGGCAAGAATGATCTTTCATAAATCCATGCCAATTACTACTATTGATGCCATTTTCAATAGGCAAATTCTTAGATATAGTCCCTTATCATCCCCTGCAATAGTTTACATATTTTTGATGTTAGACTGCCTGTGTGTAGTTTCCAAGTATATACTGTACACTATTTTGCCAAAAGTATTGGGACTCCTCTCCAAATCATTGGATTCAGGTGTTCCAAATACCTCCATGGCCACAGGTGTATAAAATCAAGCGCCTATTCATGCAGACTGCTTCTATTAACATTTGTGAAAGAATGGGTCGCTCTCAGGAGCTCAGTGAATTCAAGCGTGGTACCCTGAAAGGTTGCCACCTGTGCAATAAGTCCATCCATGAAATTTCATTGCTACTAAATATTCCACGGTCAACTGTTAGTGGTATTATAACAAAAGTGGAAGCAACTGGGAACAACTGCAACTCAGCCACGAAGTGGTAGGCCATGTAAAATGACAGAGCAGAGTCAACGCATGCTAAAGTGCACAGTGCGCAGAAGTCACCAGCTGGCTGCAGTCAATAACTAACATGTTCCAACATGACTGCGCACCAGTGCACAAAGCAAGGTCCATAAAGACATGGATGAGCGAATATGGGGTGGAGGAACTTGACTGGCCTGCACAGACACCTGACCTCAAACCGTTTGAACACATTTGGAATGAATTAGAGCGGAGACTGCAAGCCAGGCCTTCTCGTCCGACATCAGTACCTGACCTCACAAATGCTTTTCTGGAAGAATGGTCAAACATTCCCATAGACTCACTCCTGAACCTTGTGGACAGCCTTCCCAGAAGAGCTGAAGCTGTTATAGCTGCAAAGGGTGGGTCAGCTCAATATTTAACCCTACAGACTAAGACTGGGATGCCATTAAAGTTCATGTGTGTGTAAAAGGTAGGTGTCCCAATACTTTTGGAAATATAGTGCATCTTGGCCCTTTTTGAATACTGGTACCATGTTAACTTTTTGCCAGTCAGCTGCAACCATCCTGGTCATTAACGCAGAGTTAAACATGTTATTTTCCCATGCAGTGGGGCAGTGTGCTTATATATTAGGAACAATGGTATAGCAATAATCCGGCTAAACTCTTTGAGGATCCATGGGTGTAAGCCATCTGGTCCTGGGGATTTATTCAAAGTTTTTACAGTTTTCTTTGAACATTCACCTCCATTGGCCATATGGGAATATTCCGTTGCTGTTTTTATAACAATACCGTCTTGTCTGTTATACCCCTCCTTTTCCTCCATGAAAACAGAGGAAAAGAATGCATTATCACAGTTGCCTTTTCCCCGTCACTTGTAACCAAATTTCCCTGGCTATCCTTTATGGGCCCGATATGCTCTGTCTTTGCCCTTTTACTATAAATACAGTCAGGTCCATAAATATTGGGACATCGACACAATTCTAACATTTTTGGCTCTATACACCACCACCACAATGGATTTGAAATGAAACGAACAAGATGTGCTTTAACTGCAGACTGTCAGCTTTAATTTGAGGGTATTACATCCAAATCAGTTGAACGGTGTAGGAATTACAACTGTTTGCATATGTGCCTCCCACTTGTTAAGGGACCAAAAGTAATGGGACAGAATAATAATCATAAATCAAACTTTCACTTTTTAATACTTGGTTGCAAATCCTGTGCAGTCAATTACAGCCTGAAGTCTGGAACGCATAGACATCACCAGACGCTGGGTTTCATCCCTGGTGATGCTCTGCCAGGCCTCTACTGCAACTGTCTTCAGTTCCTGCTTGTTCTTGGGGCATTTTACCTTCAGTTTTGTCTTCAGCAAGTGAAATGCATGCTCAATCGGATTCAGGTCAGGTGATTGGCCATTGCATAACATTCCACTTCTTTCCCTTAAAAAACTCTTTGGTTGCTTTTGCAGTATGCTTGGGGTCATTGTCCAACTGCACTGTGAAGCGGCGTCCAATGAGTTCTAAAGCATTTGGCCTTAATATATATGAGCAGATATATGCCCGATAACACTTCAGAATTCATCCTGCTGTTTTTGGCAGCAGTCACATCATCAATAAATACAAGAGAACCAGTTCCATTGGCAGCCATACATGCCCACGCCATGACACTACCACCACCATGCTTCACTGATGAGGTGGTATGCTTAGGATCATGAGCAGTTCCTTTCCTTCTCCATACTCTTCTCTTCCCATCACTCTGGTACAAGTTGATCTCGGTCTCATCTGTCCATAGGATGTTGTTCCCAGAACTGTGAAGGCTTTTTTAGATGTCGTTTGGCAAACTCTAATCTGGAATTCCTCTTTTTGAGGCTCACCAATGGTTTACATCTTGTGGTGAACCCTCTGTATTCACTCTGGTGAAGTCTTCTCTTGATTGGTGACTTTGACACACATACACCTACCTCCTGGAGAGTGTTCTTGATCTGGCCAACTGTTGTGAAGGGTGTTTTCTTCACCAGGGAAAGAATTCTTCGGTCATCCACCACAGTTGTTTTCCGTGGTCTTCCGGGTCTTTTGGGGTTGCTGAGCTCACTGGTGCGTTCCTACTTTTTAAGAATGTTCCAAACAGTTGTTTTGGCCACGCCTAATGTTTTTGTTATCTCTCTGATGGGTTTGTTTTGTTTTTTCAGCCTAATGATGGCTTGCTTCACTGATAGTGACAGCTCTTTGGATCTCATCTTGAGAGTTGACAGCAACAGATTCCAAATTGCAAATAGCACACTTGAAATGAACTCTGGACCTTTTATCTGCTCATTGTAATTGGGATAATGAGGGAATAACACACACCTGGCCATGGAACAGCTGAGAAGCCAATTGTCCCATTACTTTTGGTCCCTTAACAAGCGAGAGGCACATATGCAAACTGTTGTAATTCGTACACCGTTCACCCAATTTGGATGTAAATACCCTCAAATTAAAGCTGACAGTCTGCAGTTAAAGCACATCTTGTTTGTTTCATTTCAAATCCATTGTGGTGGTGTATAGAGCCAAAAATGTCAGAATTGTGTCGATGTCCCAATATTTATGGACCTGACTGTATAGTTAACAAAATGTTTTGAGATTTTTTTGTTTTCCTCTCCTCTGCTATGTCTCTCTCATGGTCTATTTTTTGCTGCACTGGTCGCATGCTTAATTTTTTTTTATTTATTGCATTCACGGTTCATAGTTAATGGTCTTGTCCTACCCTTGTGTCTCATCTTCCTATGTTTTACAATGAACCTTACAATCCCTGTGATCACTGTTACCAAAGTTATCTCTTACTTCCATGTCAGCAATCAGCTCAGTGCTGCTTGCAATTAGTAAGTCAAGCAGAACCGCATTTCTAGTTGGGGCATCCACCAACTGACACATGAAATTATCCTGCAAGACATTCAAGAAATCACGAGCCTTAGACTGAACAGTTCCTTCTGCCCTGTCAATATATGGATATTTAAACTCCTAATAATAATAATATTGCCCTACCTCATCACCATTTCTAACTGTGAAAGGAGATCGGTCTCCTCCTCATCCTTCAGGTTAGGGGGCCTGTAGCATACACCCACTATTAATTTCACACTTGTTTTTCCTCCTTAAAGTTCCAGCACAAGCATTTCACCTCCTCCTTTGCCCCATTAGTAATGTTATCCCTTGTGGTTACTATCAAATCACTCTTGATGTACATGCACACCCCACACCCTCTTCTGCCTACCCCATCCCCTATGCAAAATAGTGTAAAAAACATTGATAGATAAAATTGTCCATAGACAAAACATTTTTGGGATCTTCTTTATTTTATTTCACTTTTTTTTTTATTTAACTTTTTTGCCAATACAGGGGGACTAACAAGCCCCTTTCGTGATAGCATAGTGCAAGTGACAAGTTTTCATTAACGAGATAAAGGGTTTATTAGGCGCTAATATTTCCTCGGCACTCTGAGAACAAACAGTGCCTGATATGCAGTTTAGTACAGGATAGTAGATTCTGTTTTTGAAATCCAGTGTCAAAAACCCACCCCAGTTTGTATCATCATGTAATCAAAAAAGGGAGTTCCAATAATTCCAATATCAGGACCACACCTGAAGTATAACAGCCGGCACCAATTTGAGAATTTTCCGGAGACACTTATCTCAGAAAAAGGCCTACAACACCACACGCCGACAGCTACTCCACTAGTCTCTCAGACAACCAAGCTCAGACCCTGTTATTCTGGGCATCGAGTGTAGTGTAGACGTTGACAGCATGTGTTGTTGTGCATTTGTGGTTTTCCCAACAGCGATCATCATTCACAGCACAAGCCGTTTGCTACTATTTAAGTCTATTTTCTTGAATAGCTGACAGTTAGGCTCAGGCTTTTCTTTCAGTAGGATTATAGCTTGCTGCCAGCTCCATAGCATGGGGGGCTGGCAAATCTCCTCTGTCAATTGTAGAGTTGGAATGTCGAGGTGCTGGGGCAGGAAAGGAATGGTGTAGAAGTGCTGAAGAGGAGGGGACAAATGTGGCTAATAAGTTTGAGTGTGGAGGTACCAAGGCAGGACATTAACAAGAAGGTACTAGAGGAAATGGGACATATGTGGAGAGTTCATGTTGTCATAACCATGAGCTGTGCTGGCACTAAATAATGCCAGGACCCCGTGCTCAGCTTGCCCAACTTTCAGTACATTTTCATCAGTAAAAAGAAGGTGGTAAAGGAGGAACAAAGCTGCGGAGTGAAGAGGGGGTGGTAGCTTCAGTGCTATCTGTATTCCCCTATGGGAACACCCATAAACTGGGCTTCAGCCTGGGGTGTAATACAGTCAGCACTGACAGAAATAAAACATGATTTTACTTAAAAAAAACAAAAAAAAACACTGCTCTATCCTTTCGTAATATCAAGTTTATATCTCATTAAGAAACAACCCCACCAAACAGTCCCGTACTTCATCTGGAGTAACAGAAATATTTTGGTGTCTGCAACTAAAGCATTTTTTTAAAGCATGTGTAAAACACTATTCTCTAAAACTATATTTGATTAAATATAGATTTGAGTCAACTTAGAGTTTTTTGTAGATGATCTTACTTGCATAACTCTACAAACCTCATGAATTTCACACATTGATGACTTTTTACAATACAAATACTTTAATGTATATATATGATCATACCAATATCAACCACTAGGAGGTGATAGCGCTGCTAAAAAAAAAAAAAAAAAAAAAAAAAAAAATAGTCCTCCTCGAGCCTACAGGCCTGTAAATTTGAAAATTCTTAACATTATTGCAGCCTCTCTCATCCTTTTAACACAAAGGAACCCTTGAATTAACTTTCAACTCTCAGGGAATCCCTTTTAAAAATTCTTATATCTATAGCTCATGAGAAATTAGCATACATCAATAAACTGTAGAGATAAGAATGAAGAATAAGGAAACTGGTGTACTTAGCGTAATTGACATCCAGGGCTGTTTTATACAAGAGTAATATTTTACGTTAAAATGATACTAAAGCTAAAAACATTTTTTTTTTACACTATTTAAATTAAAGCGGAGCTCCAGTCTCCTATATAAAAATTAAAAGTCAGCAGCTTCAAAAACTGTAGCTGCTGACTTTTAATAAACAGTCACACCTGTCCTGGGATCCAGAGCTGTGCTCGGCCCAGTCCTTTTCACCCTGTGTTTCTCTCTCCCCAGTGTTGGTATCTTTACTATGGCTACCCAGCTGTGACAGCTTGCTGCTTAACTAGTTGCCGACCGCAGATAGCCGAATGACAGCTAAACTGCGGCCGGCCAGTTCTGGGTGGACGTCATATGACGTCCTCCCAGAACGCGCTCTCCTGCGCGCCCCAGGGGGGCGCGCACCCGGCGATCTCCGTGATCGCTGTGTCCCACGGACATAGCTGATCACGTGATGTGGTAAAAGGCCAATCATACCGGCCTTTTACCACGTGATCAGCGGTGTCCAATGACACGCTGATCACAGGGAAATGCAAATGCGGTTCTCGGCTGCACTTTCCTCACGCTGTCAGATCGTGAGGAAAGTACTGCCGAGAACCGGCAGTTGTCAGAGCGGGGATCGGCACCGATCATCAGGGCAATGATGATCAGTGCCCTGATGATCGGTGCCCAGCAATGCCACCCGCAAGTTCCGCCCACCTGTGCCCAGCAGTGCGCCCACTAGCTCCGCCCACCTGTGCCCAGCAGTGCACCCACCTGTGCCCAGCAGTGCACCCACCTGTGCCACTCTGCAGTGTCACACACCTGTGCCCAGAAGTGCCACCTACCTGTGCCCAGCAGTTCCACCCACCTGTGCCCACCAGTGCCACCCACCTGTGCCCACCAGTGCCACCCACCTGTGCCCACCCACCAGTGCTGCCCACCAGTGCCACCCACCAGTGCTGCCAGTCAGTGCCACCCACCAGTGCCCAGCAGTGATGCCAGTCAGTGCCGTCTATCAGTACCCATCATCAGTGTCACCTATCAGTGCCGCCTATCAGTGCTGCATATCAGTGCCGCCTATCCGTGCCACCTCATTAGTACTGCCTATCAGTGCCCTTTAGTGCTGCCTATTAGTGCCCATCAGTGCCGCCTATCAGTGCCCATCAGTGCTGCCTCATCAACGCACATCAGTGAAGGAGAAAAAATACCTGTTTGAAAAATTTTATAATAGAAACAAAGAAACTTTTTTTTTTTTTTTTTTTCAAATTTTTTGCACTTTTTTAATTTATAGCGCAAAAAGTAAAGCGCCCAGTGGCGATTAAATACCACCAAAAGAAAGCTCTATTTGTGAGAAAAAAAGGATCAAAATTTCATATGGGTACAATGTTGCATGACCGCGCAATTGTCAATCAAAGTGCGGCAGCGCTGAAAGCTGAAAATTGGCCTGGTAAATAAGGGGGTATAAGTGCCTGGTAGGCAAGTGGTTAACAACCAGGTACCCACTGCACATGTGGTGCTCACTGTGAATGGTCTGACAGTCTTCTGGGACCTGTCATGTGTCCCAGAAGATTGCAGGGTAGGGGGGTAGTAATTCCACTTCCAATTGCTTAGGTGGTCAGAGCGGAAGTGGGAGCGGGTACCTGTCAAAATTGGGTACCTATTCCCCCTCTCCTCCCCAAAAGCTCCATTTCACAAACAAGAGCTGGGGAGGAGGCCTTAAAGTAAGACTTCCCCTTTTTAGGTGGATCTCTGGTTTAAGGGAAAAACGTTTTCAATTCTCTGCCCAGCTCCCCACCTCCCTGTGTGATTAGCGCTGTGCACGGTTGCATCTATTTTCCCCTCTCTGCCTCCTCACACAGCAGTTGAGCTGCAGCAGGAGCCATTGGCTTCTGCTGCTGTCAATTAAATACAGTGAGGAGGAAGTGGCGGGCGGGGCTAAGTTACACTGTGCAAGTCTATGGAGCGTGGCTCCATAGCTCAGGAGCGCGCAAACACTATGCGCCTCCATAGCAAGCAACTTGCTACAGGGACACACAAAGAAGAGGAGGAGCCAGGATCTCGCCCAGGGGACCGCTCTGTGCAATACCACTGCACAGAGCAGGCGAGTATAACACGTTTCTTAATTTAATTTAAAGAAGTTTTGATTTTAGCAACACTTCAAAGTGGTTGTAAAGGCTGAAGGTTTTTTACCTTCATGCATTCTATGCATGACGATACAAAACTTTCTGTTTTCAATACTTACCTGAGCCTCATCGCGATCCAGCAATGTGATCGCCTGTCCCGGGTCTCTGCCTCCTCATTGGCAGAGACAGCAAGCAGGAGCCCTTGGCTCCCGCTGCCATCAATCACAGCCAGTCAGCCAATGAAGGGGGGGGGGGGCGGGGGAACGACAAGCCCGTGGCTCTGTGTGAGAATGAACACATGCTTGCTGTGGGGCACCCAACAGGAGGGAGGGGCCAGGAGAGCCTGCGGGGGACCAGAGTAGACGACGATCCAGGCTGCTCTGTGCAAAACCACTGCACACAGTAGGCAAGTATAGATATTTTTGTTTGTGGAAAATAAAATAAAATTAACCTTTAGAATTGCTTTAAGTATATTGAAATAAAACAAATAATAATGAACAGAAAATAAATGCAGACAGTGAAAATTTTAGTATTCCCTTACAATAGTGGTCAGTCAAAAAGTGTCCTCTTACACTGGTGCTCAGTGAAGGGGAAAGAATGTCTCCTTACGTTGGTCGTCAGTGGGAAGAATGCGCTCCTTACATTTGAAGTCAGTGGGAAGATTGTCTCCTTACATTGGTGGTCAGTGGACAGAATGCCCCTTCTTACAGATAACTATAAAGATCATTGGTGTCAACAGTACTTTTTCTGAAAGGCAGAAACTGTACGCTGCTCAAGAAACCAAACACCTCTGGAGGAATCCTATCGTTTCACAGAATCATGGTTGAGAATGGCTGAATTATTGTCAGGGCTGGGCTCCTGCTACTTAACGAGCAGCTCTTTTCTTTCAGTGCTCAGAAGCTGCTCAGCCGTCTGTTAATTACCAGCTAATAAATTGTCTCCACAGTGACTCACCTGGTCATTCCTGATTTTTGGCTCCTGGCTACGCTGACTTCTGGTTTTCTGACTCTGGCTCATCTGACTATACGCACTGGAATTCAAAGCCTGGCTTCTGTTTTGACTACATTCCTGATCTAGGTTATATTTGCTAGTTCATTAAAAAAGGTGTGATTTTAACTGCACAGTCTCTGCCTGGTTCATGGTTCCTGACATTAGGCAAGGGCCATGAATTCAGAATATGCAGGCAATCCACCTAGTCTTGATATTTTTTCTAGATTGGACGAGCAGGACCACTGCTTGGATCAGTTTGCCATAGCACTACAAATGCTCCTAATCCAAACTGTTCAACTGGATCCTCCTACCCCAGCTGCTCCGGTACAAGCGGTGTTGCAGACCATCCCTGCTGCTGCTGCTTCTACCTACCACTTTGAGGTATGGCTGGTTCTGCTCTGCTTCCCCAGTGGTTTGGGGGCAATCCAGCTCACTGCAGAGGGTTTCGCAACCAGGTTGGAATATATTTTTTTTTTGTTTACAAACGATTTTATTGTACATGAGTAACAGTAGAACAACAGCACACTTTAAAAGTGATATTGTCAGCAAAAACAAGGCACTTTTGAAAAGTACAATACATAAAGGTATATTAACATAACAAAGAAGATAAGGAAAAAAAAAGAGGAAGTTACAAGTGCATGAAGTACGTTAACGACAAAGTAGGTTGGGTGATACACCTGTCAATAGTACATGCCAGCCAACTTTTAGGTTGGAATATATTTTGAGATGCTGACCCAGACGTTCCCTATGAACAGAAGCAAAATAGGCTTCATTATTTCTTTGTTTTCTGACAAAGCCTTGGCTTGGACAAATCCTTCATGGGGGACACAAACTTGTTGTCCACAATTACCCTGAGTTTGTGGCCTCCTTTGGGTATGTGATATTCCCACTTGCTCCACCTCTGCTGCCAAGAGCCTCATGGCCATTAAACAGAGTACGAGAACTGAAGCCGACTATGCTATTGAATTCTGTACTCTGGCAGCAGAAGTTGATTGCAACAATGAGGCCCTCTTTACTGTGTTTTCCCATGGCCTCTTGGATAACATTAAAGAGGAGACTGCAGCTCAAGATATACCCAAGAATCTTGAGGAGTTGATCTTGTTTGCCATTCTCATTGATTGACTCGAGACGAGAGACACCTTCCTTTAAGGAGCGCTTGCAGAAGCCTCCTGTGCACTTGGCTCCGAATTTCGCATTCCCAACCATGCCTCCCTCATCTCCCATGCTTCCTGGGCCTGAGTCCTCCAGTGAAGTAGAGCCCATGCAGCTGGGATTCACACATCTCTCTGCCGATGAGAGAACCTTTAGGAGAAGGGAGAGATTGTGCCTTTACTGTGGCCAAGCAGGTCACCTATTAAAATCTTTTCCAATCTGTCCGGGATATGCCCGCACCTGAGGTACTGTAGGGGAGAGACCTTAGGGTCTCCTCAGGATATCACTCGCATTCCAATGGTTCCGCAGAACGGGCCAACCAAGCCTTGGTTCCTACTTTGCTAAATATTTTCAGACCATAACAATTGGTCGGACTGGTTACCTTGGGCGGAGTTTGCTCACAATAACACTAACAATGCCGACTCCCAATTATGTCCGTTTATGGCGAACTATGGGTTCCAGCCATCCATGTTGCCCGATTAGTTCTGCAGGGAATTCCTGCATTAGAGGAACATCTTCGAGAACTACGTTCCACTTGGGTGCAGATCGAAGAATCCTTGCAACACTCCAGAGAGAGGTAAACTCCATGCTGACTGCCAACGCCTACCTGCACCTCCTACCAAGTTGTGGAGAGGGTCTGGCTGTCTTCCCGTAACCTGACTCCATGTTCCCTCACTAAAACAGGTGCCTAGGTATATTGGTCCTTTCCGCATACTCCGTACGATCAACCCAGTGGCATATGCATTAGATCTTCCTTCCAACATGCGTATTTCCAATACATTTCATGTTTCCTTATTAAAACCTTTGGTATGTAACCACTACACCACCTCGTTACCATGCTCTTGCCCGGTTTAGGTTGACAACCATGAGGAATACGAGATACAATCTATCAATCGACTCCCTAAGGTTTCATGGGCGCATACAATATCTAGTTCCCTGGAGGAGTTATGGTCCAAAGGAACTCTCTTGGGTCTCATCCTTTGACATACATGCTCCTGCCCCTCCTCCATTTACATTTTCCCTTCAAGCTCGGTGCCCCCTGAGGGGGAGGGGTCGTTGAGGAGATACTGTCCGGGCTGGGCTCCTGCTACTTCAAGAGCAACTCTTTCAATGCTCAGAAGCTGCTCAGCTGTCGGTTAATTGCCAGCTACTCATCTCCACAATGACTCACCTGAAAACCATTACCTGCCTCATTAGTCCAGCCTACAGTCAGCCCTTTTGTTCATTTTAGCACCTTAGCTAGTTTCCTCCTTGCCCTTGTGTGGTCTATGATCTCCAGTGTGTTCCGGAGTACATTTCGGTCTGGCTGACTTCCTTTCTGATTCCTGTTCCTGATTTTTGGCTCCTGACTACGCTGGACTTCTGGTTTCCTGACTCTGGCTCATCTGACTTTGGCTCGTCTGACTACCTACATTGGTATCCAAACCTTGGCTTCTGTTTTAACTACGTTCCTGATCTAGGTTATATTTTTTATTTCAGTCAGGGCTCGTTCACTGAACTAGGCTGTTCATGGTTTGCCACACGCTTTATAAACGCCCCTATATCTTTTGGCAGTGGGCGTTGGTCCGCTTGTTTGCGGAGCGTTGTGCAAAACGCTCGGCAAACGCTACCCGCAATTCCCCCGCATCTTGCGTCTTTTAGCGGTGGTTGCTAGGCGT